GTAGAACCTGCGGAAGGCCGGAACGGCAAAGAATACTACAACAACATCATAACAACTGGAAGCTCATTTCTGGCGTCATTGCCACAATTGCCCAAAAATGCATAGGATACGCTTTAGTAGGACGTAAGATCTGAGTCAATAACCATTTGAGGCATCGGGAAGTCAGGAGAAAACTGCTGTTCGGATCCCCGTTGCCACTGTGGGTAATACGTTCTAATTGACAATTCAGTAGGCAAACATGTTTTCAGTAATTAGTCACCAGGCTGCTACGATTCCGTGGGGCCTGAACTCGCGTGCTATGCACAGTGCTTACGGGCCTCGGAGGAATGGCTAATCATGCTTTTCTTTCACACGCCGCCTGTCTGATGGAGTCGGCGTGCTGAGGACGTTAAAGCTGGGAGCGGAGGGTTTTGTGATAGGCTGTGAACTTCAAACGTGCGGTGTGTGCGACTGTTATCAGACGTTGGGGCGGCATGCGATTGTCACTTGGGGTAGGTTAGGGAAAATAAACTTTTTGCACCAACGTCTTCGCTACCAGAATTGACGATTCCTCAGCTGTTGCCGACACTCGTTTGCGCAGGCCTTAAGGCTAGTTAGCTTGTGTCAACTTGGTGATTCGTATGGACTAGATGAACGCGATTTGAAATCGATCGACCTTCCCCTTTACCCAACTAGATGGGAATGTGTTTGCGTAATTTCTTTTCCAGACATCTTGTTCGGCCAGTATATCCCTCTCCACAGGAACAATTGCATGAATATACATCGACGTGGCCTGTAATGGCAGTCAGTCTTTTACTGACCAACCATAAAAAGCGAGTTTGTGAAGAATAAGCGCAAGTCCGCCGCCGGGAAAGCGCTCATGATAGCCGTCTTCATGCTAATTCGCTGCATCTCCTAAAGAAAGCAGTTCTTCTTTTCTGTGGTTTCAACTGCATAATCCATGCGTCCACAAGAATTAGAAACCGGAGTTACATAACAAAACGAAACAACCCGCACACCGAACGCGGCGGTGAATGCCACTCCTGTATAGCTTTAAAAGACCTATGCGGTGGTTTTCCGGAAGAACTGAAGTGTTAGATACATACCAGATGTTCATAGTGGTAGTGGAGCGTGGCACTATCATAGAAGCAATGTCCAAATCTTATAGTGGACATCGACTGGCCTGAACGGCACGGTCCGCTGAGTTAACACGTTGACAAAACACTGGCCCGAGTGTGTAGACTTGCGATAGTGCTGAAGTTACGCCAAAGATGTATGGATAACTGAAAGCATCTTCTGCACGCTCGCGTCCCAGGCGCTGAAAAATTTTTGCCTGAAATACCGGACTGGAAAAATGAGCTACTCCATTTCACACATGAACATGAGACTATGACACGATTACGCAACTACCAAGTTGGCATCGGAATGTGCACTAGTAATTTACTTCCCTAATGCCTGCAGTACGTCTACTGCACCGAACCTTGGTAAAAGGAAGCTGGGCAGTGCCGAAATGGGCTTAGCCATTGGTAGGTAGCTGAACATGAAGGAAGGTGACCAAACTACCGGACCTACCGAAGTCAAGGGAACCTCGCATAACTGGCTATTTGAAACCCTTCCACTGTTATTTTTCAATAGGTCGGACGCGAGGTATCCTTAAACTTAGGATTAATCGTTAACTGGAGGGTCATCAATGATATTTAGCGTAAGTAGCGCCGTAGCAAACTTCTTAAGCCTATAATTAAGACTCTAGATCACCTTATTTTTCTTGAAAAACTCAGAAGAACATGCAAAAAGTCGTTAAAGGGTCTGCCAGTTGAACGCTAGGCTGCAGTTTCATGATGTTGCCTGGCACGTAAACCACCTAGATATGCGTATATCCTAGCTTGGCGGTCTGGTACGGTCGATTGTCTACCGATTCAACGAGTGACATGCTTTTAATGGGGTGAGCGTCCTCACTACAGAAGAAAAAGAACACCGGCGAACAGAGGGCCACCACAATATCGGAGAAAATATGGTTACAAAATGAAGTCTGAGATAAAGGCAAGGATGGCATTCAAATGCGTCTGGACAAAAAACTAATGCATCACCGAAAAACGAAAGTCAATAGGCCTTTATCTTAGCGCAGAAGATAAAATGATGACAGTGAGGTGAAGAGACTCGTCTGTAGAGATCCACGGATGACAGAAGGGTAAATTCGAAAGAAGCGGTGCCCAGTCATGGCCGAAAGTGGTTGGAACTGTGAATCAAGGCAATATGGGAGTGGGGACGGCGATAGCAATCAGGTTCAATCAGCGAGGCAGTAAGTTGCTGCTTCAAAAAATCCTGAACGGATGCCAGACTTGGTATTGACTGAGGAGATAAAGACGATGTTGGCGTGATCTGTGAAAGGTTCTGGTCCTCTGAGAGGCGGCAGGAAGGAGTACACAAAGCGCATGATATGTACACAATTTTGCACAAACGGGAAGCGACGGTGGGAGAGGGCTGGCTGCGCCCTTCCCAACTAAACATTGTACTAGAGAGAAGCACAAGTGTGGGGGGATATCGGAATCGCTGGTTTAGAGAGCATTAACGGAAAGAGGGAAGGGCAACAACAAACAAGGGGAAGGATAGCGAAACAGGACCGCTAGCTTATTTTCAGGTAACCGAAAGTAGAGCGGCAGAGGGGAGGGCGCGTTGGTTCACGTAAATATTATACAAATGGCAATTTAAAGAATGCTCGTTTGTATTTTTTCAACCCAGTTTTTTGCAATATCCGGATCTTCGGCGGAAAATCGGAATTGACGTCCAGCAGTTTCGATCTAAACCAAATAGAGTAAACATTATGCAAGTCACAGTGTCAAAATAAAGTAGAAGAATTCTCCTAGTGGCTGGAACTGACTTATCCGAGAAAAAGGGCCATCTAATAGACTGCTTTGATTTAATGAGCGTCATCGGACTTACTCTATGCGGACCGATAGCCTACCTGCTGCAAGCAATGAAAGTCAGCCCCGTCCTCAGGACGCAGTGGTGACTTCAGCGTAAATTGGGCCCATAATAAGAATTACTTGTGCGACACTTGCCCCCCTCTCTCTCTCTCTCACGTCCGCTAGGTCCGAATAATAATAAAAAAGTAAAACTGACGTAGGTCCCGGCAAAGTGGACGACACAGCTACAAAAGGCATCTACGCTTGCAGCACGCTACCTGATCACTAACACCAAACAAACCTGAAGGCAGCGATCACAGTCTAGCCCTCGGACCAGGAGCAGAACAATTTGACCAACTAACTGGTGGTCAGCCAAGCCACTAATATAGCGCATTCATTGATGACAGGGTGATTGGCCTCACTCTGTCACGTACAAGTGGTAAGTCCGAATCCAGCCGCCCAAGGGGTGAGCTTTGGCACAATGACTGACACGACATGAAGCCTCTGACTAACGACTGTCAAAGGCCTGTTCGGCTATGGTTTTTCCTTCAGGTTATAGTGCAGTGCATTCTGTGCAAAATACGAGACTTGCACTATAAAAAAAGGGTGTAATCACCAATTGTAGCGTGGTTTTGAGATGCGTTAGCGGGGTAGACTGCGAATTCGGATAACTATTTGCTCACTTAAAAGAGCCAGCGATCTAAATGCGCAATGTGTCTTGGAGACAAAACACACATTCAATAATAGCCGAGTCTTAAAATCTACAAAATATGCGTTTTTATCAATGACTTTGCCTTTATAAATTCAAATATATTCTATGGAAAACATGCACGAAAAATTATTTCTTGGGCTCTTTTGGTAGCAAATTACGCCTTCTTTAAAGAAAAGGTATCCTTCGGTTTTAGAAAAATTTCTAATTATGAGCTTTTAACGATTGTGAGGTTTTCTTTCATAATACATCGCATCCGTCAGTTTATTAATGCTACCTATACTGTATGAAGCATGCTCCACATCTATTGCAACATTTTATGAAAACTATGTGACTTCTTCTTCAAACTGCAGGCGTAAACGTACCTTTCCTTAAACAGCATGTACACAGCGTGCAGATTGTAGATCTTGAATTTTTGTGTAGCAATCAGTAGGTTTCAAAATTATTCGGAAATTTGGAAACTTTTTTAAACCTGAAAGATACCCCTTCTTTAAGTATAAAATGTAAGGAAGGCGTAAGTTGCTACCAAACGAGTACAAAAAATAACTTTTCGTGCATGTTTTCCATGGGATATATTTGAATTTATAAAAGCAGTTAAAATCAATGATAAAAAGGCATACTATTTAAGCAGTTACTTTTTACAGTACATACCTTTTGTAAGTGGTCAGAACGAAGCTCGTTAAAAAGCCCGCATCCTATCATGACTAAGATAACTTCAAAATAGACTACACGATAATCAGTATCACGACCTGAGTCAATGTCGACTAACGAAAGAGTATCAATCTTTCGCATATGCCAGCATGTTGCACGAATTCTGGCGCGTACTGTACTAAAAATCATGCGAGCTGGAACTGGGAAATTTTGTCATGCTAGTATACAGTCAGGGTGACACTAGTAGTCAAAACAGGATAAGTAGACAAATAGAAAACTCGTATTTGCTTTTAGACATCAAAGTCATTGAAGAACCAAGCGGTTACAGAATCCTGAAAATAAGGACTGTAACTGTTACGTCAATATTGCCCTTAACGTTCCCCAAAACAATTAACTGTGACCGCCTGACCAACGTACATGCGCTAAAAATGTATGTTCATCGTGACTTACGAAACTCACCTCAAAAGTGGAATTTTCATGGAAACGCCTCTGTCCAGATTGGATGTTTTTAATGAGCTTGACCGAACGAACATCTTGTAAATCTATACATCCCCGGGGCACCTCGTCTTGAGCAGTGTCGTAATAGCGCAGTTGGTGACGTTCTGTGTCGAGGACAAAGAAGCGTGGCTTCCAAGTGGGCAGCATTTTTCGGTGACCCAGTTTATAGAGTTCGCTGGAGTAGGCAACACTACCAGCATAGGAAGGTGGTCCGCCAGCTAGACCATTGTATTCACCAGTACCGGGTGACCCCGCCATCGAAGAACTCAAATTCCGGTTTCCGACAGGAACGGGCAGACTCGAAGCGTACGTTGTTGAGCCAGTAGGCGACCTAAAACCATTGGCAGCCAGACGGAGTCTAGAAGGTGGAGAGTTGGGAATTTTTAGGTAATATACACAATAAACACACTTTGTGGCAGGGCACAGTATAACACGAAGACAGAACTCACTGAAGAGCATCAGTATTTCGCTGTGGGGACGGCGAGGCGACAGTAGACGTCAGACGGTTTGTTTGATTCCAGGGCCGGACCGTGTTTGAACCCGGCAGTCCCGAGGTGTGATCACTACCCCGTGGAACATGCCTGCCCGATTGCGAAGCGCGGATCCCACAACATGTGCGAGGAACGAGTGGGGCACATTTCTCGTGACAGTAAAGGTGACAGTCAGTGCAGCGAACCACACCTCGGGAGATGGATGTAGCCAGAACAAGGCTTTGGCACCAATCACAACGAGACATTGACAAGGTAGTCTTAATTCGTTCAAATTTGTGTGGCTAAAGGGAACCGATAAGATTGATCTTAAATATATAAATAAAAATACATATATATATATAT